CTCCTAGGGGGTGCAGAGAGCAGTGATATTTCTCCATCTCATGGGTGAAGGCATCCAGAAAGTCAGTGAGTCAAAACGAGCCACTGCTTGATTAAAAAATAGACCGAAGCCTCAAAACCCGCCTAATGAACTTCCCCCAAATATGTAAACAAATGATTGTATTTCTCAAAACTAGTGTGAGCTCAGTCGCTCCTCATTCCCTACTCATTTCGGGGAAGGGGCTCTCCTCCAGGGATTTGAGCAGTCAGTTCCTGCTCAAATGTTGTCACAACAAGACTGCTTTAGTGGTTCCAGGGTTGTCTTTCTTTAGTGCAGGCTGTGGTTTTCAGCTAAGTTTCTAGGATCTCTGCCATACTGTGTTTTTTTTACATTGCAGTGTACCATGAGCCTGGTTTCTAGATTGCTTGGAGTTGCATGTACTCAGGGTTCTCTTCCCTGAGTGCTACCTAGCACTGTCCTATCATTGCCAGTGTTATCTTTTATGTAGTGTTTGGGGGTCGTTCCCTTAGAGGTCTTTCTTCCTTGCAGTTGCCTTCACCCAGGGTGAGTCTGGGGTCTTGTGACTTTGCTGTCTTAACCCAGGAGGGATGCAACTTTGGTTGGTGGGGCACTCTGGTGGTTCGTGGGTTTCCCTTCAGTGCGGCAAGGTTGGCGCACCTAAGGGGTCTCTTGCATCGAGGCTAATTTATATGACCCTCCTATGGAAGTTCATGCTTATCAGGCAGCTTCTGCTCTGTGGGTTCATTTTGCCTGCTTGAAGCATTCTAGGTTGTGTGCCTAGCTGGATGCCACAGAGCTTGTAGTGCTTGGCCTGGGACCTCGTGCAGGGGTTTTGGCCTCGGCTGTAGCTGTGTTGGCTGCATTCCCCAAGCAATATACTCCCATGCTCTAGGAGGTGGTGGCCATGTTCATCGCTGCCTGCCTCACATATCAGCAAGCTGTGTTGTCTCAGTCTTTGGATTCTGCGGGGGACCTGGCTCTTATCTGCCTTTCCTATTGCCTCCCCTCCTCCTTCCTGAGGAAGTGGATTCTCAGTTCCTCTCTTCAGTGGCTCTTGTTTGTTATGCTATTTTTTTTTTTTTTTAATACTATTTTTGGTGGGGAAATGTCACCGCTCCCTTTGCCTCTGTGAAGGGGCCAGGTTCTGGCTCTGGTCCCCAGTAGGCCTAAGAACTCCACAGGTAATGCGATCTGGTCAATAAGATCCATCTCAATGTATAGCCTCAGGGAGCCATAGGGGCTCGCCCAAAAGTTGGCATTGCAATATATTCAATGCTGTTTTTTTTGTTCTTGAACTTTCTTCCTAAAGATGTATCTTCCACTAATTATGCTGCTACTAATTAAGTAGAGACCGAAGGTGAAAGACCGAGAGTACCTGTACTACGAAAAGTAACACGAAACAACTACTGTACAGAAGCCTTGAACAGCAGCTGCTGGACAAATAAAGAGAAATATTGAATCGGAGAACAAAGACCAAGACTCATTCATCATAAAGTGGTAGTCATTTGTAACAAGGAAGGAAGGAAGGAAGTAGACTGCTACAACCATATAAACCTGAATCACCAAATAATAAGAATGACCAGCGATTCATAGAAGAAGGGTATACCAAACTCTCACATCACTCAAGGTCAAGCCAGAGGGCAGCTGGAATCCAAACGGTGATTGCTGAAGGCACGACTCAAAAACCATTAAAGTAATAGGATAAGCAAATAAGAACTGAAAATAACACAGTTTAGAAGAAATGATGGCCAAAGAGCACAGAAGGCCCAAAAATTGAAAGCAATAAATAACAGAGGCTCAACCAAAACTAAATGAAAGGTGTAGTCCATACACAATATTGCACAAGACGACTGGCAAAGTGGCAGGTGATGATCCTAAAGGAAGGTGAAGTCTAAGAAAAAGTCTGGTGGGGCCAATGTGTGAGAGCAGCTGGGAAGCATGTGTGAACCATCACAAAGTATGGATGAGACTGACGCAACCAGCAAATGTGTCTGATCTGGAAGGCACCGATTGAAGAACCCAAAGCAGGGGACAGTAACAAATTCTAGCTATTGTACTTGGGTATAGAAAGAATGAAGAACGTAATCAGGATACAGAATGCAAGACAAAAAGTTCTCCACATCGGATGGATATGTCATGTAAAGGGTTAGGGAATAATTATTTCAGAGTTCATAATGTTTAATGAACATAACAGAACAAACATTGCATCGTTCAAGAAAATGTTAGGGTGTATTATTAGAACCTTTAAATCCAGAGATGCTGCCACACTGTTCTTTTCAAATGACCTGCACTTCCCCTCCTTAAATACTACTTTATACTGACTTTTCCTTACAATACAGGAGAGAGATATGAAAAAGAAGGAATAGAGAGCATGTACTGCACTTTGAGGGTCTTGGTAGTACAGTCGGGTTCGATCTTGACTCATAATCGAGAATCGAGAATTTTGGGTTCGGATCCCAGGCAGGACATTGATGGTTGGGCGTGTTTCCTATCCCCTAATGCACTGTTCACCAAGTAGTAAATAGATACCCAGGGGTTAGTTAGCTTATATTGAGGCTGCATCCTGGGGAGGGTCAGTTATTCAACCTTTGGGGAGGGGGGTACCTCAATATAAGCCTAACGTGTGTAATTATCTAAATGTAGTTACAGGATGAGAGCTACGCTCGAGGTGTGCCTTCTTCCCGGTACTCTTTGTTGTATAGTGCTTTGACACTACTGACGGTTTTGGTCTCCACCACCTTCTCACCACCATAACTTGTACTAAACGTCTACCACTCCATTTGCATAAGAAAAACTTTCTAATATTTTTTAGGCACCTTTGTTTCCTTAGCTTGAATATGTGTCCTCTTGTTCTTTAAATTGCTGGTTTCAGGAATTCCTCTTTGTCAATTTGGTCGATTCCTGTTAGTATTTTGTAGGTGGTGTTCATATCACCTCTTTTTTTTTCTATCTTCAAGTTTATTTATGTGCTTTTTGAGATAATGGCAGCATACAACTGCTGCATATTCCAATTTTGGTCTCACAAAAGTCATGAACAGTTTCTTTAGTATTTCACCATCCATGTAATTAAAAGCATGTCTGAAGCTGGAAAGCGACATATACGCTCCTCTCATAATGTTCTGTATGTGCTCCTCTGGCAACAGCTTACTATCCAAAACTACCCCTAAATCTCGTTCTTTATTAAAGTTCTTTAATTCCTTTCGACATGATTTGCAAGTTGTGTGTGTGGTCTATTTTCTCCGATTCCACATTCCATAATATTGCATTGATTCACATTGAATTCCATTTGCCACTTAACCTCCAAACACTTGTTTTATCTAGATAAATTTGAAGGGCATGACAATTGTCTGCATCTCCTATCTTCCCCAGTATCTTAGCATCATCCACAAACATGTTCATATAATTCTGTTTTCCTTCTGGTAGGTCATTTATGTTGACGATGAACATTACTGGTGCAAGACCTGAACACTATGGTACTCTGCTAGTAATACTCCTCCAGTCAGATAAGTTGTCTCTGATTACCGTCCTGATTTGTCTATCAGTTAGAAAAATTTTCCACCATGTGAGAAGTCTCCCTGTCACTCTTCCAGCATGTTCCAGTTTCCAAAACAACCTCTAGTGTGGGACTACGTCAAAAGCCTTGTTTAGGTCCAGATAGACACAGTCAGCTCAACCATCTCTTTCCTGTAGAATCTATGTGGCTCTTATCATAAAAAGTAGGTGTAGGGGGGTGTGTATGTGTGTAATTACCTAAGTGTAGTTACAGGATGAGAGCTACGCTCGTGGTGTCCCGTCTTCCCAATATTCTTTGTCATATAATGCTTTGAAACTACTGACGGCCTTGGCCTCCACCACCTTCTCACCTAACTTGTTCCAACCGTCTACCACTCTGTTTGCGAAAGTGAATTTTCTCATATTTCTTCGGCATCTGTGTTTAGCTAGTTTAAATCTATGACCTCTTGTTCTTGAAGTTCCAGGTCTCAGGAAATCTTCCCTTTGTGTGTGTGTGTGTGTGTATTTATATTTATATACACACATTTTCATCACATATGTGATGATATTTTTTCATCACGTGTTAATTTTCGTGATTTACACACACACACACACACACATTACAGATGAGGGCAGTAATCAGAGACCATGTATGGGAAATTATCTCAGCGAGTTAGCTTTAGAGAACCACCCGGGGCTCACTCAGAAAGGGGCGTTTCATTACATTCAGTGCTGGATTTGTTATTTAGTCACCAAATTATCGTTGAGCACCAGGAAAGTGTTATTGTATCATTATTATTCTCTCTCTCTCAATTAGGATGGTATTTTTAAATTATTCGAGAATGTTTTATGAATTTGGTGGCAGGTACTTTTTATTCTAGGTCTGGTCTCTAAATATGCGAGTTATTTTATTATTACTTTATTTATTTATTTATTTATTTATTTAATAATCTCTTTAGAAACTAGAAAACTTACTTTTAAATTGACTGAACCATCAAGTCTTACAATTTCTTATGTTGCACCTTTATTAACTCTGGTACCCTATGTTTTTTGTTTTTATTTATATAGTATTGAAATCAAATTAAATAGTTACCATAAAATATTAAATAAAATTTTTGAATTATAATTAGTAATTGCAATCTAAATATTATTTTTATTTTGAACAGTTGGAAGGCATTCTTGTCTTGTATCTATTTTGTTGTTGGCTTTTCAGGTACATAATTTAGGGGATAGTGATTATATTTTAGTAAATTGTTCTCTTACTTGCTCTTCTCTTTCTATTTGCAATTAATCTTGCATAAGTGAGACTCAGCAGAGCATTTGCTGTTATTGTTCTCTTATATTAAGATCGAGTTAGTGAAGCCTTAAGAATGCAGATAACATCTGACCTGTGATGCCATTCTTTTAACTCTTCCACGTTCGACTACTCAAAAGCATTGCTGTTACGGGCGTTGCTATGTGAAAAAAATGGTTGGCCTAATCTAATATGTTGATACCTTGCAACTTAGGGTACGATGGGTATGCTAGGACCGCAGGGCACGATGCAGAAGCAGGGGAGTGCCCAACAGCTGGTGAGCAGAGCAGACCCCAAGACATGGCACTCCCTTGACCTTGACCCCCATAACATGCGACCACCACCATTTAAAACTCAAAGGTCTTCCTCGATGCCCACACCTAAGGTAACTCAAATCTGGTGTGTGTTGTTATGGGGGGAGGAATTATTTGCCCTTGACGTGAGTGGCTGTTAATGCAGTTTTCTTTTACCGAAGGTTCTCTCTCCCAGCCCTTCACGCCGTTTTTTCGCCCCGCCTTGTGTTGGATGATCCCTTTGAGAATCTTTTTGAACTATTTCGGTTATGACACATCTCCATACGTTCGCTCAGATTCGCACTTTTAACTTCCACGATCTTGCACTCGACCCTTCTTTCTAGCAGTTGGCTCTTTTCGTATGGCTTCTTCCCCAGTCTCTTTATTATTATTATTATTATTATTATTATTATTATTATTATCATTATTATTATTATTATTATTATTATTTTTATTTTTATTTTATTATTGTTATTATTATTATTATTATTATTATTATTTTGCATTGCATTTATGAATTACCCTTCAGCCATTTTCTGCACATTTCTAGAGCATTTAAGCATATTACTGAGTAGATCCTTTTTATTTTAAACTCTGCACCATCTTAAAGTTACGATGTTATTCTATAATTGATTTGAGATTTAAAATGACAGTAGTTTGAGTAACGAGGTTATTTTACAACCTACCTATTTTATATAAATAATCAGTGGAAAGTACACAATTTACAAAATAAACATTTACTGTATATATTTTCTTGAAACAGCCATCTATTTAACTTCATTTGTACAAAGGTTAATTATTCAATGTAGAGCAACCTCAAGTTGAAATTAAGACTTTATGGAATCAAATATTTTGCCTGTAAAGGCTTAATTAAATCTGACAAAATTTAAGCTTTTGCAAGCAAAACTTCAATAAATTCTGTTCTCAATTTGTGTGTTTCTGCATTGTCGTCAGCATTTAGTGCTCTGTTCAGCTGTAAATAATGCATTTCAGATAAGACATAGAACCCATTTATACTTTGATAATTAAAAATTTGAAAATTTATTTCCTTTATCCAGAAATGCAAGGTAACTTTAACATAAGAAATGACAATTTTATTTACCCATTACATTCAATTTAATTAGAGTAAGACACAACAAATTAGGAAATAAAAGTCTGGTGAATGTTACCATGCATGAATATCACCCCAAGTTAATTACTCTATTTAAGCCTACACAAGTTTTGAAATGTGTGGCATGGTCAAGCTTTTTGCATTTTAAGTAGCACTTTCATTATCAAAACACAGAACAGTTGCCTTTCTTAACAACAGCAAAATCCATATGGAGTGTTTAGGGTAAGTGCTTTACGTGTTGTTGTTGTTGTTGTTGTTGTGTGAGCCAAGTGTGCGGAGATGCATACTGAGCACAGTGTGACGAAGTGTTGCTTGTGCTGCTCTGCCTGTAGTTGACCGTCATGTTGTAATGGTAATTATTCCCTGTTGTGACTAGTAGCTTAAATGTTTGCATGGATATGATATATATATATATATATATTCATAATGAATAAAGTATTATATATTTATCTTTATTTGTTATCCAAAGATTATCTTTACAGTCCCATTCCGAGCAGGGTTTTGAATGCCATATTGGGCTCTTAACATTCATAGTTCAGTACTGATCATTTTAAAGTTTAAGGAGCAAATGATTTAAAAAAAAATACAGCATTTTAAATTTTATGAATATTTTTGCGCCGGTACTGGTTTGGCTACGAGGTCAGCAAGACATTATCTCAACATGAACTTTGATATAAGAAGGTTTGCAAGGTTGATGTATCCTGTAAAAGGCTAGCAAGTTCTGCAAATGTAAAACTAAAATCTGGAAGTAATGAAAAACAAGTAAAATTAAAAGAAAAAGAAAGCACCTTAACATATAGAAGTGTAACATTCCAGCATGTCAAAATTACAAGTGTAAACTAACAAATCATATAAATTTTTGAATGTGAATGTTTTGGAAAGCACAAGAGAGTTTATATAAAGTAACTTCCTATTCATGGGAGCTTCCTATTCCCTGACCTAGCTTTGAATTTGCTGATCATATATTACATTTGTAAGGTGATGGGGCTCCCAGATGTCTCCTCCTACACAAAATAAAAATAATAACTTATGAGAAAATTTACTGGGGCTGTGAGGCGACAAAAATCCGCGACCAAGGCATTGCCAGCCTCTTGCTCCACGACTGGCCCACTGTTTGCTTGTTTCACCAATTATTTGGTGGTACAGTGGTAGATTACTGTATGTGGCTGGCAATGCCTTGGTTGCGGGTTCACGTCACCTCACAGCTCCAGTGGATTTTCTCATTGGTGTATATCACGTTAGTGTGATTTTCTGTGTGTAATAACTTGTTAGCAATTTAGCTTAACGTTTAACACTTGCATGCACATAGAATAATAGTTTCAAAACAAGGTTCTTATCTTCCATTGTTAACTCATCCTAGAGCATAGGAACAATGTCCCAAAAATTGTAGGTCACTTTCAAAGTGGCAGATATTTACTGGAGGCCTCAAATACCAGTTATGAACACTATGTACCAGTAGGAGTTTCAAATATTGCATAGCACCTACATTATCATATAATGTAATGAGGATCATTGATTAAACATTACTTCATAATATACACAGTGAAAGGGTTAATGGGAAATTATTGCCATACATTGATCTCCGGGCTATTGCGGTCATCATTATAATGGTACAGTATTTTTATTTTTATTATTATTATCCAGTTTGTAATTCCATAATGTTAATATGAGTATAATAGCTCTTTCAGCATGTAATGGAGTTTACAGTACCTAGACTGATGTACAAAATCTTGCCATTATTTTGAATTGCAGTACTCGGCTTACTACGTGATGAGGTTATTGTTTAATACAAATATTGGACTGCAATTATTGTCAAATCACAATTTGATCTTTACTGAAAGTGTTTGAATCTACTACTGTATTTCTGGAAGACATTCCCATACAGAGTAGCTTAGAAATGGTTTGCAATACTCTTCCTTTGAGCTGTGCCAGGGACGGATATATATACAGTATGTTATGTAGGTATACTATACATGTTATATTGTAGGCATTGATACATTACTGTACAGTACTCAGTAACTTTTTTGTTAAGACATTTGTATATAAATTGACTATGGCTCCTTGTTACCAGTTGCTTATATACTGGTATATAAATAATTCTGTATTCCTTCTGGTAGATTATTTATATAGACAATGAACATTTCTGATGCTAGAACTGTACCATGTGGTACTCCACTGGTAATGCCTCTCCAGTCTCATACATTGCCTCCGATTACTGCCCTCATTTTTCTGTCAGAAAATTTTTCATCCGTGTCACTTATGTGCCAGTGAATGTGAGGCTGGCCACATTGTTTTCATTGACATGCAGGGTTGGATTTGCTTGAAAACAGCTAAGTTTAAAAGTCTTTTTAACAATAATTATATTTTGTGTAAAGCAATATATAATATATATACTGTACTGATATAAATTTGCTACTATGATTAAGGGAACAAACCATACTTGCTCCTGCCAGGTTGCAAAGTCTTCCAGGTTTTACTATCTGGCTCCACTCAAACTGTTCCTCGGTAGTTTGTCGCTTGAATTATGGGGTATCACTTTGTCTCTCTCCTGTGGGACTGGACTCTGCAAGTACTGTAGCTTGTTTCTTTTGAGCTATTTTCTGGCTCATGGTTTCCGGTTCTCTATTCTGGAAGCTGCAGCACTGATTCCCTTCAAGGTTTCCTTGCTGCTCCTTTCCCTCATCCCATGGTAATTCCCCCCCCCCCCTTTTTTTGTTCCCCATGGTGAGTTAGCCTGGGGAGCTCTCTCAGAAATACAGTGTTCAGTGTAATGAAACACCTCTTTTAGATAGGTTCCTTCAGTGGCTCCTCTTTTTCTGCCTTCACCTCCTTTATGTGGTTCTTAAGGGATTGCTTTCAAGCAGCGCAATCACTGAAACTCCAAGTTTCCATGGCTGCCATCTGATGCTGGACAGGTGTAACTATCAATTGGGTCTTGACAATGAGTCTGTACATAGTGTCTGGGTTACTAATGTTTCCATGCAGTTGCTATGTTTTGGGGTGCTATATATTTCTGGTGGCTTTCCTCTTGGTCTGCATTACTCTAGTCTTCCCAGACTCCCTTGCCTGTATTGAGAGGAGCATACTGTGACCCACGAGGGAAGCAGACTGTGATCCATGTTGTGGTTGTAGGCCCTTGTGAGTCACAAGGGCCTAAAGGGGTTGCTAGTGGTGTAACTAAGCAGGCAGGTTGTTTGGGAAGGCTATCAAAGAGTCCCTCTTGAAAAGAGGCATTTCATTACATTCATTGAACAAATCCACAAGGGCCGTACATTCATTCCTGGATTTTTGGGCAGTTTGGCTGCTGCCCTTGAAATATATTGTGTGCTGCATCATTTATTTTTTATACAAGAAATGCTTCAAGAATGTTAAAAACTAAATTTTTTGTGATGTACATACAAGCTTGCTGTGTACTGTTGGTATATTTCATGCTTTAGTTTATTTCTTCAGGATGTTGAATTCACTTTTTAAATTTTATCAGGTAAGTGTTATATTGCTCTAAAAAACTTATATGTTTAGTGTGATGTAATAATTCTTCACGTAGTATTTATATTGTAGTGAATGGTTAGCACATATTAACACGGGTTATTATTTCTATGAATACCACAATGAAAGCTCTGTTACCTGCAGCATGGAGGGGCCAAGGAACAGCAGTATTATATAAGCCTGCATTATGGAATTTTAAAGTTTATTTTGTATTGAAATCATAGCCTTTCATAATTCCCACTGTAATTGTTTTCTAAAAATATATCCTTTAAAATCCTATTTAATATTAAGGCAGTGTTTTACCTTTGTTGCATGAAAAAGTGACTCCCCCCCCCCACCCCCACCAAAAAAAAAATGTTGATTAGGAAGCAAAACATTAACCAGATTCTTTTGTAGAAGATTGGTTAATTTTCTGAGCACTTTTCTGAAGATGTGTTTTTTGTGTTTGTATCAACAGGTTTATCATTCTTTAAATAGTTTTGCCATGTTACAGTATACTTCATGTCCCTCAGGGTGACATGTCTCCCCCTCCTAAGGAACGTGGTGCCAGAGTCTCGGTCAGCAACGAAAACAACATCCTGTTAGATCCCGAGGTACTGACGGAATTTTCTACTCAAGCCCTTGTTCTAACAGTCCTGGCAACTCTTGTAAAGTATACTACAGACGAGAACGAGATGAGAGTCTTGTACGAGTACTTGGCTGAGGCTTCGGTTGTCTTCCCCAAGGTCTTCCCTGTTATGTGAGTGTAAAAATGTTTTATCACCGCTGAGTAATGCTTTTCTGTTTTGCCTCATCGTGAGACATATAAATAATGAGATCTTAAAAAAGTAATGTAATTTTCTGTTACTTGTATGAGATTTATACTGTAGAATTTATTTTTATTAATACAGTATGTTCTGAAATGTAATTAATTTTTTTCTTGACAGCCATTCATTACTGGATGCCAAGATAACATCTGTACTATCCTTATGTCATGATGGTGTGATTCTCAGTGCAGTTCAGTCCATCATCCAGAATATGGTAGCATGTGAGGAACAAGGACACCAGCAGTTGCACCACCTTCAGAGTTGGGGTTTTGGAGGGCTCTGGAGATTTGCTGGACCATTTACAAAGGTATAATTACCTACTATGTGTTAAAGGATTTATCTTCCTGTTTCATAATTTGATCCTCTAAGTGCAATTTTTCTTAGTGCAATGCATAGTCATATCAAGATTTAGGTCTTGTCATTTGTTGAATATAAATGTTACCCATATGGTTCCAGTAGCTCAATAATGTAGTCTCCCAGGAGTCACAGGAGTGTCGCAAGGTAATTTAGTCAAATGGACTATAACTCCTGGTCCCTCATCAACATACAATGATGACTGCACATATCTGTATACAGTATATTTAGTTTGTTATTCCTTTTACCATTGCAATCAGAGTCCTTACTTCGGCGTATACTATCTGTGCTTGGTATTCCAAATCATATGGGGGCCACTCCATACTAGTTAGCCGAACATTTAAGTTAACTGAGGTTAAGCAGGGAATGTCCAAAAATGGTGTTTTGTTATATATCCCTATTCTGTTTCATAGACATGTATCTAGAGTTCTATATTTAATATTTGTATATTTAGTTCTATATTTTTTAATATTGTTTTCAGTCATACAATGTTCTTTTCTCAATTTATTTTTAACACTTGAGTAATGTTTATGCATTTCAAAAGCTCCCATCACACAAGAATAAATCTATGCAGATGAGTTTTCCATTAGGGAAACCCTGGTGATCTTTTCAAACAGAATATAATGGAGGTACACCACTGGGCACTTTTTTGAAACATCTGTACATTTCTGTACAACTATTCAGGTGAAAACAAGCAATCCACTAACTACCTGCTTGATGGGGTTCTGGGAGTTCTTCTATTCCCCAAGCCCGGCCCGAGGCCAGGCTCGACTTGAGAGTTTAGTCCACCAGGCTGTTGCTTGGAGCGGCCCGCAAGCTCCACATACCCACCACAGCCCGGCTGATCCGGAACTTCTCTTAGAAAACAGTCCAGTTTTCTAAGTGTCAAAACTAGTGTCAACCCATTACCCAGAGCCCTGGCTCACAGGGTTCCAGTGGATAAGGGAGTACCCAAGCAACAGAAAATGAGTTACTGTGAGGGGAGATCTCTTGAGTGGTAAGATGTCACCAGTGGAGTCCCATAGGGCTTTGTACTTGGACCCATCCTGTTTCTGGTACAGTACATGTAAATGATCTTCCAGAGGGTTTAGGCTTATTCCTCTCACTGTTTAGCAATGAGCTGCCAATGATGCCAAAATCATGACAAGGATAAAGACAGAGGAAGATAGAAAGAGACTACACGACAGCCTGGACAAACGGAAGGAATAATGCAGAAAGTGGCTACTAAAGTTTTATTCTATTTTTCCTATAAGATCCTTAAGATAATACCATGTTGTCCAGTTTGACACTGGGCCTCAAGGAGTAAATCTCCACTAAGAGCAGCCATTCTCTTGTATTCCAAATGAACATAACTGTACATCTTAATACACTTTTTTATTTAGAGAAAACAATACTGACAACTATGTAATGAAACATCAGGTTGAGAGTAGACTAAATATATAGGTAATGTTTCACCTGTAAAGGTCTTATTGATTCTGATAAAGCTTTTACAAGTGACATATTTTCTACAAATTAAGTCGATTCTCAACATAGTTTCTTTACATCAGTAATGTTGACAAAAAAAACATATCAGGTGGTGAAACTATCCTTATTTCTCAGAGTAACTGTACAGCAGAAAATGCAGAGTTATTTGTAAACTGCTTAGAAGCAATGGTAGAGACAGCATTGCCTGCAGATGGGGACGACACTTCTGAAATGGAGCTGGCGCAGTACCCATCTATGTTGTCTGTAGCGTCGGTGAACCTCTCTTCATCCATGTCTTCTCTCACTCTAGCTTCGCCTACAGAAAAGGGTAAGTAATATTCTATCACTGGCTTTATTACCAAATTGCTTTCTCAAAGTCTAATTTTTATAACATTTGAATTTTTTTAAGATGCAGTTTTTAAGTCGCAACAAAGTAGAGCATTGAATATAATGAAACACCCCTGTCCCCAGGAGTTCTTTAGTTGCTCCCTAGAGCTTATGCACCGATACCCCAGGACTAATACCATTTTACCAGGCATTTAATACTATCTTATTTCCTACTGGGAGTAGGGACCAGAATCCTGCACCCTCACAAGGGCAGAGGAGCCGAGTGTCTCATAAAACACCATATGCTGAGGGGAAAACTCTGCCAAAAGTGCTAAAAAAAATTAAAATGACCCCACTGACATACACAGTACCACTTTACCAGACAATTACTGGTATTCATACATACATACATACATACATACATACATACATACATACATACATACATACATTAGGCTTATCCTATTGAGGTCCAACTACTGACGCTTTCCCTGATGCAACCCCACAACAGTTACTCAACTTTGGGTACCTATTTACTGCTAGGTAAACAGAGGCATTAGGGAGAAAATGTGCCCAACCATTTCTGTACTACCCGGGAATCAAACTCAGGATTCCCAATTGTAATTAATTACCCACGTGTCGTTACAAAGAGAGCTATGCTCGTGGTGTCCCGTCTTTCCAGTCCTCTTTGTCATATGATGCTTTAAAACAACTGACAGTTTTGGCTTCCACGGCCTTCTCACTTAGCTTGTCCCAACTATCTACCAAACTGCAAAAGTGAACTTTCTAATGTTTTCTTGCCAGCTTTGTTTCCTTAGTTTGAATCTATAACCTATTATTCTTGAAGTTGTAGTTTTCAAGAATTATTCATTGTCAAATTTTGTCAATTCCTGTTACTGTTCTGTAGGTAGTGATCACATCACCTCTTTTTCTTCTATCTTTTTATATTTGGTATATTTAATGCCTCTAATCTGTCCTCATAGCTCTTGTTTTTTAGTTCTGGGAGCCATTTAGTTGCATGTCTTTGCAGTTTTTCCAATTTATTGATGTGCTTCTTGAGGTATGCGATTAATACAACTGCTCCATATTCCAATTTTGGTCTCACAAAGGTCATGAACAATTCTTTTAATATTTTCCCATCCATGTTCAGTATTTAAAAGCAATTCTGAAGTTGGAAAGCATAACATAGGCTCCTCGCACAATGTTTATGTGGTCCTCAGATGACAGTTTTGTATCTAGAACCACCCCTAGATCTCTCTCTCTTTATCAGAGTTCTTTAGAGCCTTTTCTCGTCATTTGTAGGGAATTGAGAACAAAGCCAACTATGTTACGAGACCCTAATTTGTGGTAGTACTAGAAGCTGTATATTTAGGAAATGGCTGTAGACACATTAAAAAGGCAACTCCGTCAGCACAGCAAATTGACAAATGGTAAGAAGCTGAAAGAAGAGATGAGGTCGATCTGAAGGATTACCCTGCTAAGGGTAATCCAAAGCAAAATGAGCTAAGGATCATGGAAGAAGCGACAAAGGATGAATGAACACAGTTGCTGTATGTTGTCATCTCACTTGCGTCAACTACTGTATATGGCACAAGACCGATTCATTCCAGAAGATATTTTGTTTCGCCAATCAGACCCTAGGCAAACCCCAACAGATCACAAAAAATAAAAGATTTGTTTTGAGAGAGCCTACATGCACAATAATACACAGGTTTGTGGCTTACCTTACCAAGAGTAGTGTAGTGAAAAATGTTCTTAATCCCACCACTGTTTCATGAGGCAAGTCAGTGGTGAGCAAACAAAAATTCCCAATTTTGTTTCTTTATAATACAGTATGGAAAAATAAATATCTCACTTTTATCTGTGGTGAAACAATGAAATCTTGCGATGACGTGACCAGTTCATGAACGCTCCTGCAGCACCCATCCCAGGGAGGCCACGGGGCCATTCAAGAGGCAGAAGTTGCACCGAGTAATATTTGATTTCATTATTTCAGTGTATCTGGCTTGTTTTTTGTTTTTGTTTTATTTATTGATTTTTTTTCTTCATTTATACAGTACAATTGAGATTATTTTTGAGTACTTGTACAGTATAGTAAAATATGTGGAACATTGGCTCACACATTAAAGTCGATGCATGTCACTAATATGCACACTAAAATGTTTTATTTACAGTAAATTATAACAGGGAAAAATACTTTTGTATCATTATGAATACTTTCATTCACATTATGTTTATGCTCCAGTATGTTCTGGAAGGTGTGATAAGCTCAGAAGCAGTTTACAGTGCACAAGGCAGTGACACATTTTGTGCACATGGTAACCGGTTTCCATGCCTTCTCTCTCCTGTGTGTGTTTACAGACAATGCACTCACGTATGTCTTTTGCTCTTGTTTCTTTCGAAATAAGATGTTCATTATGGTGTATCATACAGCCATCTTTGAATGCTTCAGTTCAGTTGTTACTGTAGGTGTTGTCTGGTCTAGAGTCATACTCAGGAAAGGTGCTCTTTCTGGCTCCTTGGTGGCTGACCCACCCTTTGTTTCCAGCGCTTCTAGCTCGGTGTCCAAACCTGGATGTTTTTCTACGACTCTGACTCTTCCAGCAGATCGGCCCAGCGATGTGTACCTCGCTGGTTCGAACTTCTCCTTTACTCTGTCTGGTATTTTTATGCATGTCTATCCCCATTTGTATTGGCAAGAAGGTGTCTAACTTGGCAGGATGTGCAAAATAGCCTCACTGTAAAGCGGAGGTGCAATAGGCACACTGAGAGAGAACTCTATCAACATCGAAGGCCCAAGATTTTTCAACACTCTTCCCCACACATTCGGGGTATAACTGACTGAACTCACAGTGTTCAAAACAGAACTTGACAAGCATCTTCAAAGGATACCTGATCAACCAGGCTGTGACTTGTATATTTGGCTGCAAGCAGCCACATCAAACAGCCTGGTTGATCAGATCAGCAACCAGGAGGCCTGGTCAGAGACCGGACTGTGGGAACATTGATCCCCCTAATCTCTAATAGGTAGTCAACAGGTAGGTAGCAGGTTGGTGTTCCACCTATGTCTTTCTTTATGGTGGCAGCATGAGGTTGCATGGTGCTTGTTTACATCTTGTCTCTTCATCATATTTCCTTAGTCTCTGTCCAGGTCTTCTTGTTGTGGTTTTTTCTTAATTAGCATCTTATGCTGAATACTGTCACCTCTTGTTGTTCAGCAGTGAGAGAGCCGCTGTTGCTTGCATTCAGTGTCAACACCGCCATGGCACTGTTTCACAAGTTGTCTCATGCGTTCTTTCACCTCTGGACCGCTCAGGCTCCTGAACTGTCCTTGTCTCTTGACCATGTTTTGGTTTTCTCTCCTTGCCTCGGTTTACAGTTCCCGTTTTGCTCGTAATGTTTTTCTTAAGGCTGTCTTTTTGTTGGCTCTCACCACCAGCTGCAGGGTTGGGGTGCTTGAGTGTTTTTCCTGGAGGCAGGCGGTTCTGTTCTTTTGGTGCCAACAGACAGTATGTTTGCAGCCTTCTTTTCTGGTGAAGAATGAATCAGTGCGCTTCTGGAGGCTTCTTCTGAATGAATCAGTGCGTCTCTATGGTGAGTGATGCTTTGTTGGTTGCCCAAGGATGCATCATTTGTTGTGTCCAGTGGCAGCCCTTCACTGCTATCCATGTGTCACTAGTTTTTCCTCAGTGGATGTGTTGTTGTTGACCCTGTTTGCTTATTTCCCTATTCTAAGGCCCACATTTCTCAGGTCAGCCACAGTGTCATTAAGTCTAGCCAGCCTGCGGTCTACCCTCGGGCCAATGATGTACTCAGATACATGGCTTTGGTCTCCATCTTCTCTAACATGTCTTGGGCTGATATTCAGGCTTGGGGGTTTTAGCATTCTAACAGGGTTCTGGCGGCCTAGTATGTAGTCAGTGTCCATGGTTTAAGTCGGATGTGTTGCTTTGGGCTGTCTCTCTCGGCCTATATTCTCTTCTTCATCTGAGTGTTGCTGCCTCGTCTCCTTCCTGGGAAGTACCATTTTTGTTCTCTGTGGTTAGTTAGCTTCTGATATCCACTGGGAAAGCTCCCTCTAGAAACCCATCACTGAATGTAATGAAATGCCTCTTTCATGAGGAGCCCCTGTGGCTCCCTGATTTCTCCCCCCTCCTTCCAGGTTTATCAGTTCGTTATGAGTTGTTCTTCAGCTCCAGAACTGAGATGGTGAATCAACTGAGGGCTGGGGCTAGGCTGCCTGGTGGCAATAATCAGTACTGATGAGTTTCAAGCTAGTTTGAGTAAATCCCTTGTTCGTGTATCGTTTGTTGAATTGTTTGGTGGTTTCGAGGTTTCGTTTTCTGTGAATCCTCCACTTGTCTCTAAAGCTTCACTGACTTTCTGGCAGCTTCTTCTGGTGGGGTGGTAGACTGTTTCCCGCTCTCTGTCTCTCTGTGACGGGGTGGGGGGGGGGCAATTCTGGCTCTGATCCCTGGTAAGCCAAACAGAACTTTCGCAGCTGATGTGGCCCTTTAGTATGTAGCCATCTCAGCAAGATAGTTTCAAGGGGGGCCACCGGGGCTCCTTCAGAAAGAGGCATTTCATTACTCTCAAAACTGGATTTTTTAACTCGTGATTTACAACATTATTTAGAGAGTGTGAGATGGGGTTTGAAAAGATGAAGGTAGTATTATCAGCAAACAGTATTATCATTGATGACTACATACTGGCGTTTGTTGTGATATGATTGGATATAGTTCAGAGCAAGGCCTCAAATTTCATAGTGATGAAGTTGAGATGGGAGGTTATTGGGATTTAGGTTATTGAGTCTTTGTCAGGTTAATGAAGAGGCAAATTGGGAACTCATTTTTCTCAAGGGCTTTGTAGATTAAGTCAAGCAAGCTAATAATGGCATCATTGGTACTTTCTTGGGATCTGAAGCTAAACTGGCTGAAACTTAGTAGGTATGTTGAATTTTACATGGTAGGAGTAAAGCTCTTTGCAAATAATATTTTCAAA